TAGTCGCTACCGGACGGACCAAGTCGTAATCGGCAATGGTGCACGCCCACACGCCTGTCACCTAGCATGTGCGTCACCTCAAAATAGTAAAACGATACAATATCCGGGGTTTCATACCCTCAGGACTAGATTTACAATCATTACTTACCTCAAACCGATCAAATCTCTACTCTGCGATGCTCTTGCCCCTCGACTCGGCCTCCAATCGCTCTGAATCTATTCACAACCAGAACAATACCCTCAATAAGTGCTATTGGAATGAATTCCACAAGAAAAACTATCAAATTAGACACAAATCCCGAAATCCACTCAAACCCGGCCCCCGTGCCCACGTTTCGGAATCCGACAAAAGTCACAAAACTAGAAAGCCCATTCACTCACAAGTCTACCCATACCCAATTCATCAAAATCCGACGTTGTATGGTCCCTCAAATCCTCAATTCAAACTCTCCAAAATCCCAAGCCCTAACCCCTCATTTTCACCACTAATCTTCACTAATTACATGATTAAACAAAGGGAAATCACCACATATACAAGTATTAGGGCTCAAGCAACCTACCTCACTGATAATCCCTTGAATCCCTCTTAGAAATCACCCCAAAAGCTTCAAACCCGTCTTCAAAAATGGTGGAAATGAGCAAAATTCGCGGAGGGTTCAATTTATAGGTTCTGCCCTACAAAATCGCATCTACTTTCAAAAGACCCGCTTCTACGACGCCGCACCTGCAGAAAACCATCACAGGTGCGGATTTCACTTAGTTCTCAAAATCCGCATCTGCGGCCAACATCTCGCACCTGCGGTTCCCACTCCGCAGGTGCGGAAACACTAGCAGAATCACACAAGCAGTTTTCATCAACTCTCAAACACCAAAAACCAATCCGTCAACCATCCGAAGCACACCCGAGGACCTCGGGACCTCAACCAAACATACTAACAAGTCACAAATAAACATACGAACCTAGTAAAACCTTCGAAACACTCCAAACAATATCAAAACACCAAATTACCCTCGGATTCAAGCCTAAGAACTTCTAAAGTTTCAAATTCCGCAAACGACGCTGAAAACTACTAAATTACCTCCGAATGACCTGAAATTTTGCACACACATCACAAATCATACTACGAACCTACTCCAACTTCTGAAGTTCTATTCCGACCCCGATATCAAAATCTTTACTACCGACCAAAATCACCAAAATTCTAATTTTTGCCAATTCATGCCTATTTCTACCACGGACCTCCAAATCACATTTCGGACACGCTCTAAAGTCTAAAATCACCTAACGGAACTAATCGAACCATAAAAATCCAAATACGATATCATTTACTCATAGGTCAACATCCGGTTGACTTTTCCAACTTAAGCTTCTAAATAAGAGACTAAGTGTCTCATTCCACTCCGAATCCACTCCGGACCCGAAACCAACCAACAGGATACGATAAAATACAGCTGAGGAATACAAAAGAAAGCATAAATGGGGGGAAACGGGACTAGAACCCTCGAAACGACCGGCAGGGTCGTTACAACGCACGAGGTGACGAGAGTCCGTACGTAGCTGCTAGCTATGCCTATGTCCGGGTAGTTTTAGGCTTACATCATTCCATGTTGATATTGTTATTGATTTATGTTATTGTCTGCCTTGAGAGGGAGCGAGATTGAGTTTGCTTATTAAATATTTTGAAAGGAGTTGAAATTGAAGAATATAAGATTTAAAAGGTTTCATTTGAGCTTCGTAATTTCAAAAACAATTGAGGAATATTATAATAGCTTAAAAACTCTATGTGTAACCGCATCGCATGTATGTTGAGCAGGGTAATTCCCTTAAAAAGCTACAAGCTGAATTTTCCTTATTTTGAAAAGAATCAAGAAAGAGATATGATTTTAATGTTAAATTTATATTTGACCGCGTCGCACGTATGATTCGCGAGCGGGGTACTTTCCTTCTACTAGTCTTGTGGGATCGGTCCATTTGCCTCAGCAGGATTTATGTACCACACTCTCATGGGAGCGGGCCGTTTCCCCGGCAGGTTAATAGATGCATCTATGGTTCGCGCAGTTCGACCCTCGGCAGTGCACAGTTTACTTTTATGTTGGATCGGGCCGTACGCCTCGGCATTTCCTATATATATATATATATATATATAATCCTTACGGAATCGTGCATAATATTTGGCAAGAAGCCAGTGTATCTGAGGGATTTTCCCTGATTTGAATCATGACAACTTCCGTGATGAAATCCATTATATCTATATATATGCTCCGGTTATGGAGGGAACTTACTAGCTGAGAGCTTGGAGTAAAATTATAAAGAGGGGAATTGTACCACGTATTCTATACTTGTTTATTTCATATATTTACTCTGTTTCATACTTATTCACTTCTACCTGATATTATTGGACCACTAGTAAGTGTCGAAGTCGACCTCTCGTCACTAATTCTTCGAGGTTAGACTAGATACTTACTGGGTACGCTTTGTTTCGTACTCATACTACACTTGTTGTACATTTTATTGTACATGCACTTGCATAGCTAGTGGCCTAGTGGGCGCAGCGGCATGGTTGACACGAGGACCTAGGTGAGCTGCATCTTATGTACGATCCATAGCCAGCGGAGTCTCCTTCAGAGTACTTGTATTTCTTTTGTTGTCCAAATTTGGATTCCAGACCGTTATTTTATTCTATTTTATTTCCTAGTAAATGCTCGTACACTTGTGACACCGGGTTCTGCGATGATTATGGGATATTTAGAATTGAAGTTGGAAAACGTTATTATTATTCTTTAAAGTTCATCTTTTACTAGTTAAATTGAAGAAAATTTATGATTTCAGAAATATGAAAATGAGAATTTAATTAACTATTTAGTGTTGGCTTGCCTGACAGTAGTGTTCGGCGCCATCATGGCCTTTACCGGATTTTGGGTCGTGACATTCATTCATTGATTAACAACATTCACAATCAACTTTGCTATCGAAACAACTTTGTACTTTAGCGCATGTTAGCAGAACTCACGTTTAAGATTTTAAAATTTATAAACACTTCATTCTCAAATGGCTCCATACACTGAATTTTTAGTACATGCTCGTAGACTTAGGGAAAAACAGTTAACTCATGAACATCGTAGAAATGCTTTAGGTGCGCATTTAAATTACTATCACGATTATATATACGCTCGCGTGACATGATTCTTCAACTGTGACTCCCAGAGGATGGCAATCTACTAGAGGAGTAGGAACTGTAAAGGGCAAAAAAGGGGCAAATCAAAAGTCCAACCACCTATGATCTAGTCACAGACCAACTCATCCTTCTCAAATCAGTTATAATGATTAAGTCCATCATTTGGAATGTGAGAAGCATCTCATCACAGGGTGCCTTTGATAGACTTAAGAAATTGAAAAAAAAAACATAAACTTGCCTTTATGGCTTTAATGGAACCTTTCTGTAGAAGATCCAGAATAGACAAGTTTAAAAGATGGTTAGGTTATGAGTCCTCCTACTCTAACTGCAAAAACGAAATTTGGTTGTTTTGGGATCAACAATATGAAGGCTCCATCATTCAAGACACAGAGCAACGAGTTGCTTTGTGTTTTAGTGATGAAGATGAAGTTTTCTTAGAGACTGGTCTACGCGAAATGCAAAAGCCTACAGCTTATAAAAAAGAAATTTCATTGGATATCCTAGAATTTTTGGAGTTTCTAGTCCAACTGTTAAAAACATGAAACTTTGAAATAAAATGTCATATGCCCCAATACCCGAGGTAACGTGACAAGCAGCAGACAACACAACCCTCTTCTGGCAAACCCATATCCCTCAAGACTTATCAACCATCAATACATGCACAAGAGCACTCACTTGCCCAAATCAACATTTCAAGACATAAACCATGCATAAATAATCTTTAAAATTCCCTAACCATGCATAATATACATAATATGTTCAACAAATAACTACTTCATTTATCTAACCCAGTGTATACAACTCTCACATTTACACTATGAAATTTAACAACATACACAGTATATTCCCACAAATGGAATATTTGGAGGGTAGCGTGTACTGTGTAGCAAATTTTACTCTTATCGTGTGCATGCAGGTAGAGACACTATTTACGAAAACCATAAAACTTCTAGAGACATTAAAAAAACATATATTTGAGTCATAGCCAGTCTATACAACATAAAATGAGAAGATGATACCATGCAACTGGACATAAGCACGGGCTTAGGTAGTGTACTCATGACGGATTCAATTGAATCCATAATTTTTAACGCATAGTAAAAATTTATATGTAAAAATTCATTAAAATTGTAACAATAGTAGATATGAACCCATAATGTTAAAAACATAATCAGTTTAATGCTAAAAACCTTAAAAGATGAACTCATAGAGTTTAAATTTTGGATCTGCCCCTGCTCATAAGTGGCGTTCATCAAGGGATAGGAAGTCATACTCTCTTATACGCATTACAGCTATACTTGTGAAAAACATATGACAATAGAGACACGAGTACACAAAGCACTTATTAAGTTTTATACGCATCTAAATGCACATCTGAATTGTGAATAGGTTTTTATTTTTTAAAAAAATACTGAAAATTGCTAGGTAGATTACTAATAAAACCACATCCATAAAATATTAGAAAAAAAATTACTATATAAATTATTTCTTTTTATTTAACCATACCCTACGATTTTTCTTCAGCTATTTCTCAAACAGTATTTCCTCATATTTTTTTAACAAAAAATGTTTATAACAAACAAATAAATGGTTTTCCTGGCACTTCAACTCTGTTGCGAGGATGAAAAAAGAAAAAAGAAAAAAAAAACAGCAAACGAGCATTGCATCACAGAAATCAAAAACCAAAAATAAGAAGCCAACTCAAAGTAAGAAATATAGTCTTCTTATTTTATAGTGCTTTCAACTTCAGGACTGTAAATGAGTTTCCAATCCCTAAACTGCAGCAAATAGTGCAGAAGAACAAATAACACTTTAACATCTATGTTAATAATTAATGAAGCAGATTCAATGCAATGATAGATACGGGGTAACTAAGCAGCCAAAGGTGTGACTTAGCGGTCAATGACGTTAGACAAGAACCATGAAAGATCGGGCTTCAAATCTCAGGCGGTTTCTTCTCATCTATCTAAGTTGTCAATCTATATAATAAAGTTACTACACAAAATCCTTTGTACGCATACTTCTTTTGAAATGAAAAAGTAACTACAGATAAAAGAAAGCTGGGCATCAAAAGCTTGAGAATCCAACACTTCCTACAGGTGAGATTGGTAGATATCAAATTAAAGGGTTAACCTCGTGTTTCGGCATAGCATCATGATTTTCCCAGTATTTACGTAAAACAGCTAGCCACTTCAATCTTCACTAACAGCTGGCTTCATTAGTACTATAATCACTACTATCATCCTTGATATCAAGCTGCACAAGTCGAACCTGTATTAGCTACTCAAAACGGCTAACCAGATCAATCTTCACTATCAGAGCTGGCCTCATCAGAACTGTAATCGCTGCTATCATCCTCAATATCAAGCTGCACATGCCGAACCTGTATTGGTTCGGGCATTCTTGGCAGTCCTGGGGGAGGTACTGGTCGTGCTGGTGCTTCCTCGACCTTTGGATGAAGTGGAAGAGAATCAAATGGAGGCAGTGCTATTGGATCGCCAGGCTTCCACCCAGGTGGAGGAAATGGGAGGTCAGAGGGCAACTCGACAGGCATACCAGGTTTCCATCCAGATGGCACTACAATATTTGGAGTGATGAGGCCCTGAATATTGGCAAGTGGGTTAGTTTCCGCCGGAGGTTCAATGAGTGGCTCAATAATCTTCTCTTTGCCTTCATCTAGTTTTGGTAAACCAACATCAAGATCAGCAAAATTATATAATTGAGAAGCACGCATTTGCTCGTCCTGTGGAGCCGGAGGGAGTGCTCCCCGAAGAGGAGCCTGTCCAGCACCAAATTCAGGTGGTGCAAAAGTAGTGTAGCTTATCCTATGAGCATATGACAATATGTCAGATAATTTCAACTGAGTTGCCACAGTTGTTACTGAAGATTCTTCAGTATCATTTTCCAACTTGGCCCGTTTGGGACGACGATAATCAGAGTAATCATCAACAAGCATGTCAAGAACACGCTCAGCTTCTTTAAGTTTGTTGGCAAAAGCAAGAATTGAAGAATCTTTTGACCTAATTTCGCGGATGACTTTTTGCTTCTCATCTTGAAGATCAAGAATTTCTTGCAGTTCTGCAACTGCTTCAAACAGCTGTGTCTGAAGAGAAGTAAACACAGAGAGGATCTCTTTTGACGATGAAGGGAAGGAATCTTGTGGAACCGGAGTTGCAGAAGGCAGAAATGAAGGGAAAGAGCCTCGAAAAGCACTAAGCCAATGGGACCCGTTAGGTGAGACTTCAAAGAGTCTTGAAGCAAGAGATGCCATTTGAATGAGAAGAGACTGAGCTCTGGAGAGAGGTGGGAGCAGAGGAAGGAGCGTCGATGAGGTGGTAGTAGTAGTTAATATATTTGCCTGTTGAAGGGGTTGATTAGGTTGCGACACTTGTGATGAGAACTTAGGAGGAGGGTTTGGGTTCTGAACAGAAGGTGAACTGGGAGTTGGCAGGCCAAGCCGGGCCGGCGATTGCAAAAGTTGGTGCGGAACATTCTGTAGCATCTTCAAAATGCCGGGTGAAATACTAGAAAAGGCAAAAAAGATATGTTAATGAACAACTTTAGCAATGAAACACATCCTAATAAACTACAGCAAAAACAGCTTCCTTTGCCATCCCACCAAGAGAGAGGAGGAGAGGAAGGGGGAGGGGGAGCAAACACATAAGCTCACACACATATGAAAGAGCAGAAAAGACTTCCAAACATTCAAACTTTTAAGTTAATCCATTAAATAACAACAAAAAAAATTAAATCCATTAAACATGTAAAATAGTTCACATATTGAGTATATGAATGATTCAATTAGCCTGAAACAATACTTTTAGGACCATGCAATCATTTCCTTATTTCACTAAAAACAAGCATTCTTGGGGAAACTAACAAGATAAACTTTGCATCAGTATGCAGCATCAAAGCAAATTGTGCATACTTCATCCATGTGTTATAAGAAAAGAATGGCTACTAGTTACAAGATAAAAAAGACCGAGCAGGGCAGAATGATAAGGAATATATTAGTGTCATTACTTGTATTGAAGTCAACTTTTCTCGAATTGTTGGGTGTGGGTTGGGGGGGGGGGGGGTGATTGTGCCAGAAATGAGGTTAAATTACAGTGGCCTGGTAGAATAATAGTTCATTTAATTCGACTGATTATGGAACATTTAGGTTGTCTATTGCCTCGTTATAAATGTCTCCCGTCCATCTGGCTTCTTTCATAAGTAGGGAGAATAAGGATTTGTCTTAACGCTTAAGTAGGGCAAAAATCCCTCGATTCAGTTTCATTATTTCTACCCTCATACCCTTATGAATAGAAAGATGTTTAGATGAAGACCAAATAACCAGATACCCAGAGAGTAAACACTAAACTACAGGGCCATGTCAAGTGGATAGAACTTACTCAAGTACACTCTTTATAAGTTATAAATAATAAAAACAGAAACTTACCCAAGTACACACTTCTACCAGTCCTTTCTATAAATTATTAAACTCTAACAGAACATCATAAACTACAACATTAAAACAAAATAAATGTATGTAATCTATTTTCAACCTTCTGCCTTGACACCATAAAAGTACCAAAAAATCATGACGATTGGAAAGTTTTTAATGGTACAGTTATTGCACAAATCCTGAGACAGTGCTGCTTTTTCCCCCTCTATTTTCTCCCTCGCCACTATTTGAATTTTTCGACTAAGTATTTTTCGTTATTAGGAACAACAAGACTAAGAAGAGACTTAGATCTTTGTCCTGCTGTTATCTTCCAGCTAACTAAGACTTGATTTCAAATAATAGCCACAGTAGTTAGTCACAATTTTGCAGCTCAAAGATCAAAATGGGCCTGTTTTGTAATTAATCCACTTGTGGATAACTACTCTCCACGCGAAGAGACCAAATTTCATAAGATGGAAGAAACATGCATGTTTCCTAAGGTAGGTAAGTCGATTACTGTGGAATTGTAAATTCTTGAAATATATAATACTCCATCAGTCCAATTTAAGTGACAAATCTCCCTTTCGAGATGTTCCAAAGTGTTTGACGCCATTCCATTTCTATATAATTTTCACAAATAACAAGAACTCAAATTCAACAAGCTACTAGCTAATTCTTGATCATTTCACCAAAATACTTTAATACAATATTTCTTTTTATATCACTGATACAATACATAAGTAAAATAAACATAGTAAACTCCGTGAGCAGACAAACACTGTCAATAAATGGGACCGAGGGCATACCATAGCATCCTAAGGAGCTCGGAAGCGCATGGGGAAACTATGGAGTATGGAGTCACCCCGATGTTCTATGGCTAGATCACATGCTAATAGTCAACTTGGTGGCCATAAAGGGATGGAGAAAGAGCAAGAAAAAAGAAGCTCCAAGATCACAACAATCATGTAGTCATGAAGATAGCAGGAACTACAACATCTTGCGAGTTCATTCTAAGTTCTTGCGATTGCACAGGAAGTACAGCAGCTTGTGCTAAGTTCATGCTAGGTTCATGGGATCGCGTGGGACTTACTTCGGGTCTATTTGGTCTTTTCCCCATTTTAGCCCTATTATAAATATAACCATTAGACTCGTACTTCAGAACTTTTGATGAGATCTGATACTTTTGATAGGCTTAGCCTCAATATGACACTTCTAAGCGTATGGATTGGTCTCAAGTCTTCTGTCTTGAACTTCAACTTGAATCTTTAGGGTAAGATTTCTTGTACGAGTTAATCTCTTTTCCCCCCTGTTATTTTCTTTCTCTAGATCGACTATATCTGTCTTCTTTCCAATCGTATCTTGTTTGAAATATAAATGATACAGAATAAGAGGACTAAGTCGAATTAGCTTAATTGAGATGGTACCAAAAATGGCAGGAAAGATGGTGAAGAAGTTAGTTGGTATTTTTCTTTCTTTTTAGTTTAATTTCCAAGTTCATTTTTTTTTTCAATTTCAGCTTACTACACATGATCTGAGGCTCAACTAGACGTATAAAGCTATGAGCAATCACATTGTATGGCATTATTATGAAAGTGAATAAAATTTGCCCCTTTCTCTCTAATTCTTCTTCTTTGATACCAATTTGCCGTATCAATTAATTGGTAGTTCTTTCTTATTTGTTTGAATTTACTTATTATATTCTCTCTCTTATCCTTCCTTAGCATTCTATTGCATATTTGGTTTGCTTCTGCTAATCACAACCCTATCAATGTACCACCTGAGAAACACAATAAAACAAAACAGCTGAAACTCCTCAATTCAAAAGGAAAAAGAGAAAGAAAAAGAAACAGCCATTTCTGTACCATATTAGTTATCATTTGCTCAAACAAATTCTAGTAACTACTGAAACTATGAGAATAATAAATAAAATAAAATGACCGAACAACATAATGAGAACTAAATAAGGATCCAAATAGAGAAAAAATTGACGAGCTTTGGATAAATACCCAAAAACAATTTATGCAAAATTCTCAGCATTTACTATACAATATATAGGGTTGTGAAAAGAATAAACGGAACGTACGAGAGAGAAGAAGAAGAAGAAGAAGAAGAAGAAGAAACCTGGGTGTGAGATTTAACAGAAACGGGCGACCGGGGGG